TAAAACCAAAACTTTTGTAGTTGACTCACCAAAAGGTACACACACTTGAACAAGAGATTCTGGGTGTGAGTCGTATCCTGTGTGACCCAGCTTTCTATCCTTTCTCATCTACTGAGTCTCAAATTCAACACTCCAAAAAGTTTTTTTCTTACTTCAATTTGTTTCCAGACAAAGATGAGTTGACCACTGTAGAGTGTTTTGAAAGTCAAAGCAGTCACTGTGTCTGTACAAAAAAAAAGTCTCTTTCTATTTGATCTGGTAAAATTTAGCTCTGTAAAATCATCCAGCCAACAAATACAGAGATATTACAAACAAGACTTTTGAAAAGCTAGCATCGCTTGCATCTTCTTCATCCACATAATGAAAAATACATGCCATATTTTTTATTAATGCACCATGGTATTAACTCAAATTTTCATCTTCTGAGTTTTGTCCCATTGGAATAAAATTAAAATTTAAAACATAAATTCAAAAGCAGTTCAGTTACCATATTTTTATCTACATTGGCAAGACAAAGAACTGAGACAGCACTGAGACTTGACCAAGTAAAAGGTAAATCAAAATTGTAATTAGGTGAGATGCTGCAAGTGTTTGTATAGTTTGTGTGTTCAGTCACTGTCCCCTTTGAAAACAGGCAAAGGGTGCCACTAAGGCAAGGAGAACTGATCTGTTCCTCCTCACATTTCCCAGATAGGCTCAAGTGCAGTGAAACATATGTATGTACTAAATTTCATGTTTTGCATCTCTTCAGGCTTGCTGCACACATACACATCACATATTAAATATCTGAGCAGTAACTGACATTTCCAGAACCACAATATTCAGGGGTAACACTTCTGGGAAGTGCTGTACCAAGTAGATATAAAGCTGAACTCAGCATGTCCTGCTGAAAGAGTTAATACTTTTGGACCCAGTCTAATTGGAGTTAATACACAGTGGATTTAAGTGAGACAGAAATCCTGGACTCATGTATAAATCCAGAGGGGTTTTTTAACAGAAATATAGGACATGTTCATGGAAACCATTATTGAGAGGAAGACAGAGTTTCACTTGTAATAGGAGTCTGGAAGCGTTGGCTTGCTTAGTATGTCAAAATTAATGCTGAGAAGGGATGTCGTTCCTGACTCTTTATGCATCAGGGTATATTCCATGAAGAGAATCGATTATTAAAGCTTTAGAAACATGTCAGCATAAGGTTGAATGAGTGAAAACCTACCATGCATGACTCAGGGCTGGAAATTGGCTGCAAGATTCTTACTGCCAGGGGAGGGAGTTTCCTGGAACAATGGGAATAGTGGGACTGAAAAAAAGACTTATTGTGCTCATAGTGGCATTTGATCTGTTTGGGAGTGGGACTGGGTGCCAAAGGATGTCTGTGACAGTCAGATTAATGCAATCAAGATTCTGAAGTCCCATAGACTGAGAGGTAAGGAGGGATTTGTGTGTGCTGGGGTTCACATCAAACCATAAAGGGTAGTACCACGCAGATTGGTCCTTTGAAGGTGTCCGACACTTCCACAGTGGAATTCCTCCCTTCTTTTACTTGGAACCACAACATTTCATCCATACAGCTTTTCAGCTTGTGAAGTAAATAAATTAGAGAGATAACTCCAATAAGCAGCAGGCAGGGCTCAAGTGGTCATACTGTAAATGTTTGACTGATTTGCACTAATAATTTGACAGTGCAATAGTTCCTTCTTTTTTCTTCCTTTCTTTTTTTTTTTCTTTTTATTTTTATAATCCTCTCTAGTCAGTCTTACAGGTAAATTTAGAAATAGGGTTGTATGATTTCCACCTTTTTATCTCATGAGCTTGTAGATACACAAATTTAGCAAAAAAAATGAAAGCAAAGAGAGATCAAACATTAAAAAGCAAACACTCATGAACTATTGTCTGCTGGAAAGAAATGTAAAATATGATTTCAGACTTGTGATCTATCCATTAAACATTTCCTACATTTTTTCCTATACACCGTATTTATTTTTATTTGACTGAGGGCTGTATTTCTGTAACTAAGTTTGAGGGCCTTGCAGTTTAGAAAAGCTGTCTCAAGGTACAAAAGCAAAACCTTTCTTCCATTACCCCTCTCCTGATATTTTCCAGAGGACTTTTCCCCTGCATTTTAGATAAAAATAACCTAGCAATGTATAAATCAGTGTGGGAGAGTGCAGTTATACAGAAAATGGATATTAGATGGTATTGACAATCCAACAGAAAAATGTATTTTCTACTGAATGTTGTTTAATCCAAACCAGTATATTTCCCCTGGCTTAATCATGACACCACCATCTCCAGTTACTTTGGATTCACTCCTCTTCCCAATTTTACAGGATATGGAGTGCAAATCCCTATCGATTCCCATAATTACTGAAATGTCTGTCAAAAACATTACAACACATGGTTGTATCATCCCTAGATGGATGATTTTGTTCTTTAACCCTTTTTTTGACCCTTTCTGTCCCAGTTAAAAATAAAAAGCTGGAGTCAGTGCAATGAAAATTAACAAGCTAGCTCTTTACTTGTTGCTCCATAGCCAGATCTGAGGAAGGATGGAAACATCCAGGACTTCAGAAGTATTATCTACATTTCATTTGCCTCTCTGTTCCACAAAAATCTGCCTTGTTCTATTCAGCACTTCTTAAAAGCGGTCACTGAAATATTTAAACTTCTAAAAAAATAGATCGTAGCCCGAAGGCAAAGTTTATCCCAGGTAAACTTAGACACTGAGGTCTTGGCAGACTGTGAAAGAGGAGGACCTAAATGACCTCGTTGTTGAATTTTGGGAGCTAGCACATGGACCAGCAGCAATCCTGCTGGAAACCATGCCAAAGTACAAAAAACAGAGACACGAGGGTTGAACCAAGCAGCGCCCACACTGCCAATTTATAATGCAGAGGAATTGCATTTTCCTCCTGGGGTTTGCTGCTGTCCATGCTCAGAGGTGTCTCACCTATTTGACTATTGTCAGGGTACCTTTCCAAGAGTGTGAACTTTCAAGTAGCTGGGAAAAAGGTCTTGTATTGCTGTTTAAATAATCTGAGGAGCTGGAAAAAAACAGAAGTTTTATCCCTGATGGAATGAACACAGGGATAATGAACACACCAGAGAGTAAGAGCTTTTATTTCTCTAAAGAACTGGTGCCTGATTTCCACTTCCCTCCTCTCAGCCTGGAAGGATAATATCTGTATTATATCTTGATTCTGTAACAAGAATGATGTGGTGAATTTGACATGATTTCAAACGTGCACTCATTCACTGTGCTGAGGATTCAGGGAATTTCTCACTATGGACTGTTGTAATGCCATGTGTTAACTACCTAATGGAGCACACAGAATTCCTAACATCAACCTTGAAGGAAACATTCCTGTTCTAAACATGACTTATGGGCATGCCTAAATGCTCTGAATATGACCAAATGACAGTGTTTTTATGAGTCAATGATACAACACTATTTCTGAGCCCAAATAATTGCATTAGCTACTGAATGTTTCTTTAATAATCTATAGCTATCTTTTGTTAACAAGTATTGTTATTGCTGTGCCTGCTCCATAAGGATTTTGTCATAATCCCACAGTACTTGTTTTGTTCTTGATTTATACAGTCCAGAAGCAATATTTTCTGAAATTGTAGTCTTGAAAGTTAAAGATGGAAATTTTTTCAGACTAGAAAATCAACATATGAGTGTAATGTATTTCATAATAATATTGAAAATATTAGAATGAACAATAGGAAAATTAGTTACTAAATAGCCAGCAAAAAACATCTGTCTTATAATTCTGTGTGTATTTCTTATCTGTCTTGGGAGCTGGTCCACAATGCTTTTGCTGATAACAAAATTTAAAAAGAAGTGGTGATTTTCTAGACTACTGTAAGACTGACCTGCAGATTGTTAAGTCACTGGACAGACTCCAGTTGACTTATACATACTGTGGATGAGGCCCTCTATCCATTCTGTTACCAGCTGTTACACATCACTGACAAACACAACTTTTCTTTTTTAAAGTTCATCTTCTGAGAACAATTTTATGAGAAAATATTAAATGAGTAGGAGAAAATTTTAAAGTTAGTTTGATCATAACTATGCAGTGTTGTAGGATAAATATTTAAAATTATGCAATAGATGTTTCTTCAATTTACCGAAGACAGATTGAGCCAGAATAGCTCCATATCTTTTAATGAGGAATGATTTTTAGATTAAGAAATTTTGATAGATTAAATTTATTTGGATTTCAAGAATATAAATTGTCACATGGGAAGCCATAAATTAAGATGGGAAACATGTAAATTAATAAATGAATTCTAAATCCAGTAAGGAGCTGCTTGAAAACTCTAAACCCATGAATTGTGTTAAATTGGGAGTTCCTCTAGAAATAGTTTTGAAATACATCTTACTAAGTATTTTTATCAAAAATGATGGCAAAAATATAATAGTAAGAGACTAGTAAAATTGGCTAATGACATGAAATCCGGAAACAGTATAAATAAGAACACTTAAAAGGTGAAAAACAGGGAAAAAAAAAAAAAGGCGGGGGAGATTTCATGAAAACAATGAACTGTTTTAGTAAAATATGCAAAATCAGTTGAAAATGACAGAGGCAAAAATTAATCTGGTCTTGAGCAACGACAGGTCAGTAACAATAAGGTTTCCACTATTCACAGGAGTGAGGTTCTTGAACAATTTTCCAAAATAAGTACAAAGTAATCAAAGGAGATTGAGGGTGAAGTTTGCTCAATTTGTGAAAGGGATTATATGAGTTCTTATTCCCTGCAGTAACAGGAAACTGGAACAGTGTAGTGGAACCTCATAAAATCTGTTATTTCTAGCGTTTCTCTCTTTTTATTTTGCAAAATTTTTATGTGCATTTTTTTCCCTTGTACTCTCCAACAACTCAGTATTTTCTTAAAAACATCAAGAACTCTTGCAAGACAGTGAAAGATGTAGAAAAGTACTGCAGGAAATCACCATTAAAACACCCAGCCTAATTTTGTTAATTTTCTAGGCTTGCCTGATTTGAAACACTGGAGTGATACTCTGGGGCTGTTTCCATTGCAGCACATGAGGTGATTATATTTGGATTTGTTTCTTGGAGAAGACCCAGAAAAGGAACTGTAATGGAAAGTCCTGCAATCATGATACCCCTGAGACTCCATTAACAAGCACCATTACATCACTGCTCACTTAAAGAAGGTCAGTGCACCCTTCCTTTTTTTGTAGAGTGCTGTGGGGTGAGGAGACTGGAGACATACATACAAACCTGTCTTGTTGGCTGTCTGGTTTTCAGAACCCATAGACATGTGGGTGGAGACAGTGGGCAGTATCACTCTGTGTCTCAAGGCAGCAAACATTTTACCACCTGCAGATAAGTAGTTCAAACCATGGGAGCCATTCAGGGGAAGGGTCTGCACTGAAAAATTAGTGAGAAATATGACATAGCCAGACCAAATGAATGTATAAATAGTTCTGTTTGTTACCTTCTCATAGAAAAGTAACTCAAATCATGTTTTTGGACTTATAATTAAAAAAAAAAAAAAAAAAAAAACCAAAAAACAAAAACAAACAAACAAACAAAACCCAATCAAACAAACAAAACAAAAAAAATCCCCCCCCAAATAATAAAAAACAAACAAACAAAACCCCCCCAACCAAATAGCAAAAAAATCTTCAATACTTCCTGCTCTAATTTTAGAATTCATAGATTTCCTTTCTTTCTCTCACTCCTGTTTTAAGATCCTGCTGCAGTTTTGCAGGAAAAATTTTGGTATTTTTTTGGTTTTAATTACAGTTTTCTTTCCTAGGTCTAGATCTGGACAAATTACTTAGGTTTTCTGTGTCAGTAGTACTGTTCTGTTCCAGGGTCTTTTAGAGTAAACTTCTAGTTGAAGAGGTTGTAACTGGTACAAAAGAGTCTGCATGAGTATTCAGAGAATAATATAAATTGGAGGTATCTTGATGCTTTTCAGTGAGCATTAAGTAAACTCTGGTGATCTCTTCAAATAGCAACAAGGTTAACTATTTCACTCATGATGAGGATGTGAGGAGAAAAAGCATTGACATCGGTAATGATGAGCACTGCTTGCCATAAAAGGTAACTGTGCTCTGCCAAGCTTGGTTGGGCACTGAGGCCATCCAGTGAAACGATGGGGTTTTCCCAAGCTGACTTGGGAGCACCACCCTGGAAGGATTTGGGAAAAACTCTTTAATCATTCCTCGAGCACCTGCCCAAACTATGGTGTTTAACACCATGTTTCACTGCTCAGGGTGAGGCAGAGTCTTTTGCTGAAGGTTTATCTACAATGTATAAATGAAAAATACCATGCCATTTTTAACTCCCAAGAGTTGTAGAATCATACAATAATTTGAGTTGGAAGGAACCTTTAAAGGTCATCTAATGCAACTCCTCTGCAGTGAGCAGGTGCAAGAAAAAAACAGCACAAAATCAGATCTCACCTGAGGAAAGCAAGTACAAGATCATGGTGGATTGATTGATTTCTTGCAGATGTTTTGGTAGATCTGAATTTTCAAGAGTAGGTATAAAAAGATGTTTGAGAGTTAATATGAGCACGGCAGTGATAATAGGACAGTCACAAATATTAAAATTCAGGACACTATCTCTGCTGAAGAAAGAAGAAAATAATTCAGTTGGGCCAGAAATGGGTCCTGAGAGGTGGAGAAATATTAAAAATATATACCATAAAAAGGAGAATTGTCCCTTCTGTATGATAACATCCAGCCCATTGAACCTGACATGAGTTCTTTCTTGAGGCCTTCAACATTTAATAATAAAAAACATCATCAACAACAAATGATTTCACAAGCAGAAAAGATTTCAAGAAGTGTGACAAAGTGTTGGACCTTTTGGAAAGAGATCATAATTTTAGAAGCCTTTTTTAGGCCTGGACAGAGGCTTCCAAACATTGAGATATGATGTTGTTTTAAATAATCTCAGGCCATTTTTCAAGTCTTTATGTTTGAATTATGTTCTTTATTTGGCCATATTTCTAAATATGATATGAGAACAACATTTCTAGGAATAATTATGGTTTGCTTCATATTGTGAAAGTGGAATCAAACTGTTTTCTAGTTAGATAATAGGGACTGGGCTGAGAGAGGTTTTCAGGTTTGTCTGGGGTTTGGTCTGGAACTGAATAACAAAAGTGGAATCTGCTTGCAAGTTCAGTATTTCCAGGTGTTTTATGCCTGGAATTATTTCAAGAAAAACATCTGGAATTTCATCTTCAAGAGAAACATAACCCTGGAAGCTGAACTGTGTTGTCCAAAATCACACAGACTCTCAGAGTAAAACCAGGAGGAAAACCCAGCCTTCCTAACCCTGTCATTACACGCATCTTGCATTTTCATTCTTACCAATCAGTCACCCAGTCAGCCAAAAGTCTTCCTGGAAAGAAACAATGACAGAAGCCAGAAGAAATGCAGAGTTTGGCTCAAAACCATTTTAACCAATAAACAGATGTAAGTAACTTATGGTTTAAAATGTATCAGTAGCTAAAGGGCTGATTTATTGCCTAAAGACCAAGATATTGGTGTCTTTTCAAACATAAACAATACTCATTTTCCCCCAATTACTTTTATTTGACTTCTTGTTTGGACTCCTACATCTGTAAGATATCATGCCTAGTAAATCCCTGTTGCTGTTGCCCTTCTCTGATCTCTGCACAGCTGTGAGAGAGCTCTGTGGGCAGGGACCAGTCCAAACTACTGAGTGGATGCTCTTGCACAAAAGACATAGAGCAGGTTTGAACAACAATCTTTTTAGTTTCCTGAATACATAAAGACTGCATTTTTATAGTTGCAAATCCAGTTCAGATTGAAATTACTGAAATTTCTGCTTTGAAAGTTGTTGCTTTTGAACATTTCAGCTGGATTATTTATTCTAACAATATAAATTGCTTTTCAGTATGACAATGTTCATCTTATCTCACTCCTCTTTTATCATGACAGGTTTCCTAGTTCTCATAATGGTGTTAAAGAGTTTTGCAAGCAACTTCCACAAGACATCCCCACACTGTTTTTATTATCCTAGATAAAAAAGGCTGTGGAAGATCTTATATGGTAGGTGATAGAAATGTAAAGGTTACTCTTCCACTCATCCCTTATTTAATGGCATTTGCTTCAAACCCACCTGACAGGACTAGGATGAAGATCAAACAGTCAGAAACAATTTTACCCACTTTACCTTTTATTCAAAATCCTAAATATTCCATATTTGGAGACAACTGGAAAAAAAAAGCTCCTCTGTTTGTTTCTTTGTTTGCCTGTTGCAGGGCTGGGGTGGGGGAGGGGTGCTGTTTTTTCTTTTAATCAATGAAAAAAAAAATCACATGGTGTTTTATCCTATTGGCATCTATTGGCAATGAGATTATTAGACTGTTATGTCCTGCAGGGAGACCCAAACCAACAAATTTTCTTTTTTTTTTTTTTTCCTAATAATTTTTTTTGATAGCAATTGTTCCAATTCCAGTTAAGGGGTCTTAACATACAAAAGTGGTCACAGAATTTAAATATTTACGCCAGAGTTTAGAGGTGTTGGAGGAGTCTGAATACTTGACTCTCATTGACACTGAGGAGTATCTGAGAGTTAATAAAGAACAGAAAGCACTGGGTTTATTTTGCAGGAATATGTCTACACTAAGTTGCATTGAAAATTTATAAAACCACCACAGTTTTATTAATACCTTCTAAATATAAAAAAGCTAAAAAAAGTTATACATCCCAAAAATATAGGTTGGTTTACATTTGTTTATTAATTTTTTAATTGAAGTCTGCTAGAGCAACTTACCTAAAATTATAATGCCCTTAAAAATCAGAAATTCTCACTTTAGGAAATTAAGTAACTTTGTAAATCCCACCTTTAACACTGCCTTATGAGATGGTGAGGGAATAAAAAATTGCAATGAATATACAGTATTTTAAATGCTTAATAAGAAATGAACCAGTGCATTGTTGTAATGCAATTATATGTACTATATATGGGACCTGGAGTCTAGGTTTGCTTTACAAACTGACTATCATAAGTTTTGGAAAACACTCCTTTTTAAAATTCTTTAGGAGTTTGGATTTATAACAACTACTCTCTGTGCCCCTGTGATTTAATTTTGGGTGCCACAGAGGAAAAAAAATCTGGGTTAAAAAGAGGCTTTAAAAAAAAACTAAGACAGACAAGATATTACCTTGGTGAAGAACACCACCCTGGTCAGATCCCACAGCTGAGCAGGTCACATGTGCACTGCCTACTGCATTTCAGTGAAGGACCTACTTTATAAAATGTATTAGCTCCTCTACTCAGACTGAATAACTTAGTGCTTGCTTCCATTGAGCAACTGCTCCATACTGTGCTGAGAGGACAGGAGCCTCTGGCTGGAGGCAGTGACAGGCACCTGAGATAGGGAGGAGAGCAAGAATATCTCCAGCCAGTGTTGGACTTGCACTGGGAAAGCTTTTAGTGATTTACTAGCAAGCTGGCTGGGGAGAGCAGCAAACATTCTGCTTATGCTACAAAATAGATGCCTGTCAGTGCTTTTGTGAACTCAGTCTGAAATATGGAGCTCAGTCATAGTTCCAAACAAAGCATTTTAAAATAGGTTTATTTATTAATTTTATTATCTTCCCCAAACCATATAAGCATTTGTGTTTGAAAATCAGAGCCCTTCTTTTTCCTTGTGCTTTCTCCTTCCAGCATCACATCAGTGACCTGATTTCCAGAGGAACAGCTCTCAAAGTCCACAGGAGGTACTCAGCATGTCTGAAAATCAAGCCACAAATAGATGTGAATCTCTCTTTCTTTTTTCCTCAAAGAACTGAACTGCCAAGTCTCAGCAAACAGCCAAAGAAACACAGCTTGTTCACAAATGCTAATTTAAAGCTGCATGTGTGTTTGCACAGGCTGGATTGGACTGAATAAGTCTGAGTCACAATAAAAGGGAAATTTATTATTCTAAAAGGAATCTTTAAATTCTTGGAGGTTTAGGAAGGGGGAAAAAGGCTGTCATTTGAGAGATGTGCATCTGTGGTATCTGTGAGTAAGCCTGGAGCGGAAGTAAAGAGGAAATCCCCCATACTGCTTAATGAAATACTATTGTGGGATAATCACTGCCAAAGAAACTCATCAGTTCAGACTTTGAGCATCTTTGTATATTAAAGTGCCTGAACTGTGCACGTGAAACATGCATTTCCTGTTTGGAGGGCATTTTTGCCAATATTAAGATCTGGACTGTTATTCTGTATAAAATAGTATCATTTATATTGGGGGAAAGTAGGGTAGAGATCTGGATTTTATTATGTCACCTTTCTCAATGGATTGACTTTCTGTTTGTTTTGAAGATCTTGAGAACAAGAAACTCTTTCCTAGCATAAAAGAAATGAATAGTTGCACTGTCATGTTCCTCTCATATCTTTTCTTAAATTTCTCAGATCAGAACACCATTATGTGCAAAGTAGCTATGGAAAAAGTGTAATGGAGGAACAAAACTCCTGTCTGAAATCCTCACCAAATGTACAGAATGAAGAAAGATAATTCATTTGTACTCAAGACAAAGGAACTTCAGGATTCTTCCACATGGAAGGCACTGTTGATCTAAAATTCAGACACGTGTTTCTCCAAGATGTCACAGGTCCAGCAAACTAGATGCCAGAACTTATTTACCTGAAATAGGAGGGTACAGATATGTTCCAAGTCAATCTAGTGTACTCTACTTTCATTTAGTAAATGATTGGTAAATTGTCCCAGATATTACATGAACCACTACATGGTTAATGTTAACAATTCCTCTCCTGGATATAAATCAGTATTACTCTACTGATCACAACAGGCTAAGGCATAATATAGGCACACATTCTTCAGTGCAAGAAGAGGGCATAGAAAATCCAAAGGGGCAATTGAATGCAGCACTAGCAAGCTGGCTGATGATACTAAACTCGGAGGTGATCCTCCTTGGAGATGGTGATGGGAAGTTTGAGCATTGAGCAATGATTAATGGGATCAAATTTAACAAGACCAAACACCATATTCTGCATCTGGGATGCAGCAACAGTGGTCACAAGAATGAATTGGGAGAGAAGTAGGCAAGATCAGCCCGGCAGACAGGGATCTGAGGGTGCTGGCTGGGCAGCAGCTCTCCAAGAGCCAGCAGTGAGCCCTAACCCCATCCTGGGGTGCATCGAACACAGCAACAAAGCCAGTGGGAGGGCTGGAAGTCATGTCCTGTGAGGAGCAGCTGTGGGCTCTGGGCTTGTCTGGTTTGGAGAAGAGGAGGCTGAGGGGTGACCTCGTGCTCTCTAACAGCTTCCTGAGGATGGGAAGGGGAGAAGGAAGTGCTGAGTTATTCTCCCTGGGCTCAAGACATCTTTACCAAGAGGGTGATCAGACACTGAAACAGGGTTCCTAGAGATGTGATTGATGCCCCAAGCCTGCCAGTGTTTAAGAGGCATTTGGGTAATGTAGCTATTAATATGTTTTAACTCCTAATCATTCCTGAAGCAGCCAGGACTAGATGGTCATTGACAGCTTGAATTATTCTAGCCTAGTCTATTTGTTAGTTTCCATTCTCTAGCCTCATTTTGGTTTGGAATCCTTCCATCCTAGATCTCTTACCATTGCAAGGAGTTAACCTTGCTTCATAGGACCAAGATTTTCAGTCAACAGTCTCCAAAACAAGAATATCCTCTCCCTTCCACAGTATGTTTTATCAAACAGGTTGGATGTATAATCTTCCAGGTACCAGAATGCCATGTTTGCCTATTCTCAGCTGTTCTCTAACTACTATTCCCTCCCCTGCCCCTGTCCATAAATATTTGAGTAATCCATCAATCAATCTCAACAAGAGATGTGGAAGGTAATTCTGCTTCTTCTGATTCTCCCAAATATTCAACAGCCTGGTGGTGAAGGCCAGCCCAGGGTGCTGAAGTTACACATCAACATGCCTGCGCACAAAAGGTCTCCTACTTCCATGTTGAGGTACCATGAGAGAAGTGGGCACTGGTGTCACATCCCCTTTAACACAGTGGAGATATTGCTGTGAAGGTTATTTAGCCTCAGAAGGGGCTGCAGGGGCTCAGTGGTGAGTTGTGAGTCACAGGGAAATGCAGTGGGGACACACTCCTGGCCATTTGCTGTTGGTGACTCTGAGCAGCTCCCTGTCCACACTTCTAGACATTCAGCCCTGTCTTCCAGAGAGAATCCTTTCTCTCCACTAACTGCCTAATGAACATATCCTGAGGTGCTCTGGGTGACTGTGCTGGGACTAATCATCTGTATTTTAGAGTCCGTTGTTCTTGACTTCAAAACAAGAAGAAGAAATGTTGTTATAAGTGTTGCAACATATAATCCTGTATACAGAAGACGTGTAATAAAAGAGAAGGCCCATATTCAATATAAAATACTCCACACTTGTCCATTTCATAGATCTAATCCCTTTATTTTGGAATCTGTAGCATAAGGAAACCTACTATTCTTCAAAACAAAAAATGCATCAATGAATAATTTTAAACATACTGAAAATTACTCTTAAATAATCTGTAAACAAAATCAGCTCATGTCATAAATATTATGACAATGATCTTTTTAAGAAGCCTCATTAAGCAGTCGCCCTTAGTGAGTTAATTGTTTCCTTACTCACAAATATCCACATACTACTATGCATTGCACATTAAATCTGTTTCTCTTGCAGCAACCTGACATAAAACTCTGTGTTGTTTGGTCCATGGTAATTTTTTAAATGTTACAACTGAGGGAATATTTTGGCGTTTATTTAATTTTTGTTTTGAAAATTTCTGACAATTTTGGTTTGAATCACCAAGAAAAAAATAAATACAAAGAATAAGTTTGTAAAACAAATTCAGTTCATGTCAAATGAACTCAATGCAGAACATTTTGTTTCACCGCTGTTTGAAACTGCTTGATACTACCAAGCTTATTATTATCAATATTTTGCTTAAATTAAGTAAGCAAAGCACTGGAATTCTGAAAATCAAATCACTTATTTTCAATACATGTGCTTTATTGTGGAATTTGAACACAACAGTTCCCTAAAATCCATGCATATTTTTCCCTATGTGTTAACAATCTAGTCCTCAATTTTTAATGACGAAATTTTACTCACTTGATCTTAACCAAGCTTTATTTAAGCTGCAATGCAGAACACCCTCACAACAAATTGAGGCAGATGGAAACCAAGATGAGTTAAAGAAAAAAATACAGACAGGTACATGTACTGATTGACTGTCTTAGGTTGTCAATCAGATTACTCAGCATCATGCCATTATTCCACATCATACATCAGAGATGTTAAAGATCCCACTGAGTCTACTCTGGCATTCATAAAATTGATATGATGTAAAGAGCCAGCGTGATATTGAGTTATAAATGAATACCTTTCAGGCACTACTGCTAGCAAAAATGTTCAATATTCATCAAAACTGTAAAATATTCACCTGAAATTCATTGAAGGTCAAATATAAAACTCAATTTCTATTCCCTAAACAAGGAAAACTGTTCAAGCTAAACTGAAATTGTAGCCAGTTTGGCATCTTACAGGCAAACTTTTTTTCAGAAAAAAAAAATCAATATCTCTTTCTTTGATCAGTTTGCAAGCTCAGAATTTTTTCATGAGGCTTTGTTTGGCCAGTACATGAGAGGAGAATTGTGAAACATTTGAAAAGGATTGAAATGGCTGATCTAGCTAGGAAAATACCATACAGAAGAAATATAAACTAAAAAAGATTTTCTTTAATCTTGGCTATCAAAGAGACTATTATCCCACTGGTTTGAAAGTGAGTTGTAAGTTTAGGCTTCCAAAATTCTCTTTTCCTCATTTAGTAGGAATTAAACCATGAGTAGGTCTTTGGCTATACATCTGCATTGTTGGCCATTGTGATGACTCCAGAGACCTCTTTATGCTTGTATTCTGTATTTAAGGGCTGCCGCACACCCCTTTTGAATAAGAATGAACTGAAGATTTAAAAGTAAGCATCATTCCTTCCAAAACAAAGAGAAGAAAACTGCAGTCCATACCACTAATTCCAATTGTCATTGGAAAGAAGATTGGATCTGAAAACCCAAGACTCTACAATTTTTCACTTTACAGCTTATTGTAAATGTGACCTGCTTAGCAATTATGGGGAGCTCTAACAACTCAGAAGACCACTTGTGTTAGAAAGACAGGGAAGAAACAAGGGGAATTCCTCTTGTCTTTAAGGGATGTTGATAAGCCTTTGTCATTATCTTTTGGCTTCCTACAGAAAGAACAGATGCAGATATGATGCTACAGAAGCAATTTTTGTTGTGGTGAAAGAGAGTGGTGACAGACTGGTTTGAGTGAGAACATAGAGAGACTATTTAGGCAAAGAATGAAATTCCAACCAGGAATTTCTTGTAGAGAGAAAACTTGGGTCCAAAGAAGTCTTTGTAGAATCACTTCAAAAGAAACTGATATTGAACAAATTGAGAAGAAAAATAGTGGACACTTTTGAACAGTACTGGTGCTGAACAAATGAACCCTAACCATGAAACAATAATTTCTTGTCAACTCAAAGTTTTCAAATAAAGGACTTCCCTCCTGAAATACTTGCTTTTATGCAGAGATATGTAAAGGAAATCAAATAATACAAAGAAATCAGATTACTAGATTAATAGCCTTATCTCCCGAGAGACTTGTAAGAAGTCAGTGGCCAGATTGTTGATAACACTACATAGGAATATATTTATTGTGTTATTTGGTTTAGAACTAGATACCTAGAGTTTCACCACTGTGAACTTCTTTAAAGCATAGCTTTTATTAATTTTTTTTCCCCAGAAAATATATTCCTTGATCTCACTTGAGGCCTTGGAGCAATCTTGTTTTATGGACAATTTCTTTGCTAGTGTGAATGCAAGAAAGGCCTACTGTGGATATATGGGGTACTACATGGCAAACCAAGAACACGGTTTGAAACACCCTAAATGGGATTTTCATGATCTTATCATTATCACACTTGCATAGTAGATGTACAGTTTGATCTGATAAGTGGATTTGAATTTACAATGATACCATGCAAATTTTTTCTGTGTATGAAGCACTAAATATTGAAGAAAGAAAGGCAAAAAATAGATCAAACTTTGATGCTTGGAGGGAACAAGTAAGACTTAGTTTCACTTGCATTTTTAAAAATTTTCAGTTCTTTTGATACCAAACCCCAAAGCAAGAGACCTGTGTAGTGATCTGCTGGCATCCATGTGCTTTCTCATTTGTAAATGTCACCAGTAGTTTCCTTTAATGTCTTGAAAATAGCTACAGATCAGACATCAGGATCAGCACTGGCCTGTGTGGACCTTTCAGTGCTCAGGTAGCATGTAGATAGATGCCTATAGTTATTAGCGCTCAGAATAATTGGTGCTAGAAATCTTTGAGCCAAAAGGAGTTTGCAGTGACTTAATTATCATTTAAGTGCAATGTTGACATTAATAACTTGAAGTTAAAAAAAATACCAATCTTCATTCAGTCTTTTGGGGAGAATAAATACAGTAAGATTTAAGCTTGTATCAATATTGGGTAAAAAAACTGTAGTTCTTATCTGCACAGATGTTCTTTATTCTTGTAATTCTGGTCTTCCAATTCCTGTAGCCATGAATTCCTGTAGCTGCAAAACCTCATGGAAAGGAAGGTCCTGAGCTTTTGTGAATTCCGTTTTCTATTCTTATCTAAACAATCATTTCCATGTCCAGTAGGAACTGAAACCTGTTTTCAGGTTTCATTAAAATTACCCTCAATCCTTTCTTAATAACTTGCTTTTGCCACACCTATGGTTCTGGGTGTTGTGCAGCTCACATCAGAAAATTATACATTTACTCACTTGTCCTAGAAGATGGGAGTTTGCAGAGACTTGGTGTGTTTGCCCTTTTCTTAATTTCCTCACTAGTTCCTTGCATGGACATTGCTAGCAGGGGTCATTGGGCTAGATGGACACTTGGTATGGCCTAGAGCAGATGCTGAATCATAGAATAATTTAGTTTGCAAAAACCTCTAAGAGCATTAGTAATGCCCCAAACTGAATTACATGTAATCTTGCAAAGAGCTGTGAACCAATTAATTTCACATTTGAGGGGAGAGGGGTGTGAATAGCAAAATTCTGAAAATGCCAGGGTCATTCTTTACAAAATTATGAGACCAGAGTAAGTCACACAGATGGAGAGGATGCAAAGCACAGCAATTTAGAAACTCTTGTGGTCATGAAAGACCACCATTGT